CCTTTGTAAAATCTATTATCCAGACCTATAAATGAAACAGCTGATCCGAGAACTGAGTTAAAGAAAGAACGAGAAATAGGAGTTCCACATTTAAATTGAAACAAGGAACCTTTAGTGTGATTGAATGCCTTTACGTATTTGTAAAGTGCATAAACTGGGCAAGCCTGATTATTACACTGCCTTGGGATAAAAATAGTTTTAGGGTGTAGGTCACTATGTTTATAGTGAACAAGAATTATCGACATTCCCAATAATGATGCGTTATCCCATTCAAAAGATAGATTTTCAAATTGTAAAACGGCTGAGAACTCCGATGACGACTTGACCGTAATCTCACCCATTCTTAAAAATGCGTAAGAGGCTAACAAAAACATTGCAGTTATAAGCAGTTGATTATCACAATTTGACACGACATATGGAATTGATGAAATTAATCTTGTTAATATGTCTTTTGTTATTGGAAGTCTACAATCCGCTGAACCCCTTATATTGTGCGCACCTTTCAAAATCTTTTTTATTAAGAAGTTGTTAGTAGGGTCATTCAGACTGTTGGCTTTGTGTACAAAACTAATTGCAGACATGTGCGTTGCTATTGTGGATGGGCTATAACCCTTCAAAAACAAATAGGTTATATATTGAGTCAACATCACATGGGAAGATGGAAATGCCTGACACTCTTGGAAATAAATGTTGCAAAACTGCACATAATTTTGAATAAATCTGTTATACGATGTAAATGTGGCGGATGACAGTGATGCCTTTAACAGGGATGTAACTAAACTATCAAGAAGTGATCTGGGATATTGGTTGGACAAGTTGCCAACCATGGTGCCAATTTGTGAGCTTTCTGAAAAAGAAAGCGAGAAAGGAGATCACAAATTATGTTATGTTTCCCCTTGATATGTTTAGCTCGGAAGAAGATGGGCGTACTTGTTTCTCAGCCGTTTTTTCGAAACGGCTTACGCCGGAAGCTGTTGAAGAAAAAAGTGATTCGGCTGAAACCGGCGAAATAATAAACATGGCTGACAACAACGAAATAATTTTATGTTTAATTCCTTTCCTGTTGGATCAGCTTGACGATGACGATGACGATGATTTTACTTTGCCTACAAAGGCCTTAATGCTTGATCACAGGTGAGGCATTCTTAATTAAAAATATTCCCTGGTTCGCATGCATTTTCCAATGTTTTTGAGTACTTACTAAAAATATAGTCAGAAAGTCAATTGTACGTGTTATGTGATTTAAATAGGAGTCTGAACGGGGGACTTTTTCTTTACGTTGGTTTAGCCCCCCCCCCCGTCAATTCGCCCCCCCATGTCAATTCGCCGCCCAATTTTGATTAATTTGCTTCCAACACCTTTGAGTTATCACTATTTATCTGTTTATGGATTGGAATCGTGATTTTCGTTCTTTATCTCTGCAGGGCACGAAGGACAAGAATGAAAACTCAACACTTCTTTGAAACAACTGTTCCGTTGTTTCTCCCAGATACATTTAGAAGATTTTTTAGAGTTTCTAGAGGTACCGCTGAGATTTTATACCAGCACCTTGGACAATGTCGAGAGCTTAGAAAAAGGGAGTTCAGGGGAGGCAGAGAGGAAAACCAGACGGAGAAGAAAATTTTGATGACATTACGGTACTTAGCATCCCAAGAAAATACTATGGAAATTAGTGACAGATTCGGTTTGACAGAATACACTTTTCTAAAGCATAAAAATCTGGTGATTAAATGTATAATCAACAACCTCTTGAGTAAATTCATAAAATGGCCAAGTGTAACAGAAATGGATATGATTGCTACCAACTTCAACGACATGGGTGTTCATGAGTTTCCTGGAATTATTGGAGCCATTGACGGATCTCATATCCAGATTGAACCCCCCTCAGAAAACCCCCAGTCATATTATAACAGGAAAAGATTTCACTCTATTATACTTCAAGGCAAATGCAAAGATGATATGCAGTTTATTCATACCAATATCGGTTGGCCTGGCCGAGTCCATGATGCCAAAGTATTGAAAAATTCCCATGTGTGGGAGTCAGGTTACCAAAAATGTGAATATGGCCGGTTTCACCTGCTTGGAGATGCAGCTTACCCTTTAAGAGTATGGCTTTTAACCCCTTACAGAGATACAGGACATCTTACTAGACAGCAGACATACTTTAACAAATGTCTCTCATCCTAAAGACAAATTATTGAACGGGCATTTGGACTGCTTAAAGGTCGCTTCCGAAGATTGAAATACATTCATAATAGAAAAATTAAGGATACTTGTGAAGTTATTCAGGCTACATGCATCCTTCACAATATCTGCATTTGCAGTGGAGAGGAAGTGGAAGAATTCCTTGACCGAGATAAAAATCAGGATGTAAATCCAATGCCGTTGGAAGAACAAGATGCACAAGGACCATTAAAAAGAATAATGATTACAAACAGACTCTCTAATTGAACTATTTTTCTGAAAGGTTAACTTGATTATACTGAATAATGTATAAAACACAATAAATACCTATGTTGAACAGTTTTATTTTAATTTAAAAAATAACATTAAAAAACAAGGGCTCTTAAAAAACATCATAAGCTCCAAATGAAACAGACTGCCCACAGTCACTTGGAAAAAAAAGAAGAAAAATAATTGCTATTTGGCACATGGGAAATAACAATGACTAACAATAATGCTGCTTTCCAACTTCGAAGAGATAAGAATAAAATTGTCATTACAGAGTAATTGTCCTAGCTTCATTCCTTTTTCACCATTTTTGACATCCCTTCATGATTTCCATTTTTTTCTTTGTGACGCTTTTCCGATTCTTTCTCTGCTCTCTCCAGTATATCCATCACAGTTGGCCTTTGTTCTAAAAAATAATTATTGTAATTATCAATTATGTAATTCATTACATTTACTCAATGAAATGTTATACACTTTGGAAATGAAAAATATACCATTAATCTAACATCCATTTTTGCAACCTGGATAAAATTTGAACTCGGTGAGTTTCTCTTTAACCACTACAAGGTGTCTAGGAGTAGTTTCGGGGAAAATGATCAAGTATGAAACTTTAGTGAAAGACCATTGATTTTTTAAGAAAGAACCAATCTGACGTTTCAACAGAAGATATGGCAGTCCTTCTCTGCAGTTACATTCAGCTATGCAGTGATGAACCCCCCCCCCCCCCCCCCCAAGCCACTTGGATGCACTGGTCGTCTCAGGGAATATATGACTTTTATCTATCCAGAATTTTGAAAATAATTGTAGTCTTTTATGCTTTTGTATATGCAACTTGTCAACCTAATTATTTTTTTCAAAACCAGTTACAAATACAATTTCTTACCACATTTTTTCACTTTCTTTGCAACGGGTTGCAGCTTCTCATCACTTGTGTCACTGGAACTCTGGGCATCTGAATTGCCTTTGCCTTCATGAAAAAAAATCATTCAAGTTATTGGAAATAGATAGGATTTGTTGAAGAAAAAAACTAATGATACAGCATAGACCAAATCTATTTTTAAAATAAAAAATGAGAGATTTTTATAAAAAGGTTTTTATAGTTTTACCTACCAGATTCAGAGATATGTAGGGGCTTGCAGTCTGGAGTAGAGAACGTCTCTGCCATCTTATCTTCCAAGACGTCCTCTACTCCACCCTCCCCTGATGTACACCTCTTTTTCGAAAGTCTGGCATGTCTTTCTTTCAGTGATTTGATTTTAAGACGGCACTGCTCAGAAGAATAATCAAATCCAATGTCTTTCATTTTTCCTGCAATTTTGAGCCATTTATTTTTGACTGGTTGCTTGCTGACCTCTCTAAAAAAATCCAGTAAACAATTTTCCGCTTTTTCTGACCATCCAGATGGCATGGGTGAAGGTGAGGGGGTGCCAGATGCACTAGGCCCAGCAGTGTCTATTGATGTAATGTCTATAAAACCATTAAAATCAGATAAGTGAAATAAAAAATGCATTTGTACAAAAATTCAAATTATGATTTATATATATAAAATAACAAGGTTAAATTTTATGATTGAAGTTAAAATTATGTTTATGAAAATGCACAAGTTCATCATCATAACCATCATACCTGGAAGCTTATCACCCATTTCTGGTGAACCATGGACTTCAATTTGTGACTTTTCCAGAGCAGCCTGGGCAATAAGTGTTTGTGCTAGAGTTTTAGCATCAGGATCTAAACATTCATAAAATTTAAATAAATGACCATAATATAAAAATATTTTGAAGTTCAAAAGCTGTTTTTACTTTTAAATAAGGAGGCAGTCTTGTTTTTAAACAAAAAATCATTAAATATTTGACTGAACCAAACCTGTGGAATTATAGTGCTCCAAAAGCTCAGGAGACACCTGAACCTTGAATACTTTTTCCGTTTTGTAAAGTTACTTCGAAATTCTTGTACCTACAAAAGAGAGAATTATTACAGATTATATTACATACTTTGAGTTATAGTTATGACTATAGTTCTGTTGACAGAATAAATATTTTCTGAGAAAGAAATGATTCTGATTAATTATGTTGATCTTTTCTCCCCCCCCCCCCCAAAGATTTATTTTTATTTTATTTCAGTTATAGATCCACTTTGGCTTTCAAATTATTTAGAGACAGAGCATCAAATATATAATTTTCAATTCTGCTGCATCGTTTTACATCTCTAAAAATTGCATCGTAGATGAATTAATTTTTTTTTCTCGTAAAAATGTCTGTAAGACATTTCATGTTTCTTTGATTATAAATAAATTGTTTGCTTATCACAACACAATCCAAAAAATTAGGGAAAATATCCTGCGACTTATACGTACTGTTCATCCGACGCCATCTTTTATCTTCAGCAGCCGATTGGAGCCGGTTTGAAAGAGGTGGCTCAATGCGGCGTACGCCGGAACTGCGCGCGCAACCTCGGCTCAGAAAAAAGTAATGCAGCCGCTTCGCCGGGCTCACCGCCGGCTGAGAAACAAGTACGCCAGATGTTATATTTCAATGCGGCTAAAACTAAACCAATTTCATGACTATTTTGTTCTTTGATGAAGTTTTATTGATTATATCGACAACAGCGGCATTATCCGTAAAAAATAATATTCTATGGTTTTTTTAAGTAATGACCCCACAACTCTAAAGCTAACACTATAGGAAACAGTTCTTTGGCAGTAATATGCCAAGACTCCATGTCATTTGACCACTCGCCAGTGAACCATTTACAGCCAAAAACAGCTGCATAACCTCCATGCACGCCTGCAGCATCAGAATATAATATGATGAAACTCATTTATCAAATAAAAAACAGGATTTTCCGTTAAAATTATCAATAAAAGTAGACCAGGCATGCAATGACCTAGCTTCAGCATTAAGTGTAATGCGGTATGTCGGACAAGAATGTCCGGTTGTAATGTCGATCAGTCTACGTAGGAAAGCCTGCCTGGAATAACAACACTATAAGCAAAGTTTAATAACCCAATTAATGACTGGAGCTCTTATAAAGAAATGCTGCGATTTTTCTTAAAAGTATGCAAAATTACAAGATATTTTACCAATTTTTTTCGTCTTGTAAACGTGCGACCATTAACATGGAATCAATTTCTATTCCATAAATTGTAATTATTTTCGTTGGTAACTGAGTTTTTTCATTCTTAATTGGTACACCAATATCATTACATAATTCTAAAAATTGATCTAGCGAGTGTGCACAAACACTAGTATTTTGTTTACCGACGAAGAAGAAGTCATCCAGAAGATGTGATATGCCTACCACCCTAAATTTCTGTGATAAAACCCAATGGAGTGCTGATGAGAATTTCTCAAAAAGCTGACATGAAGATGAGCAACCCATAGGTAAACATGTGTCATAGTAATATTTACCTTCCCATACAAAGCCAAGTAAATGATAATCATCAGGGTGGTTAGGAAGCAAACGAAAAGCGTCCTCAATATCTGCTTTTGCCATAAGCGAATTAAACCCATGTGATTGAACTAAACCGATAACAGTCCCTATGTTTTCGTAAGAGACAGAACAGAACTCTCGTGGAATTGAATCATTAATAGACGCTCCTTTAGGAAAGGACAAATCATGAATGACACGATATTTTCCTACTTCTTTTTTAAGAACCAAACCTAAAGATGAACAAAAATAATTTGGAAAGAGGGGTTGATCATAAGGACCTCTATATCGACCTAATTTTATTTCCTTATTTATTTTTTCCCAGACAATTTCGGGGTTCTCAATAGCACTTTTATGATTTCTACATTTCAAAACTGACAGTATGGAAGGTCCAGCACTAATACGAAAATCAACGGAAAAACCCGAGAGTAAAAAATATATGTCAAATTTATTGTAGCCATTAAGATGATACGCTAGCCTATCACACTTCACTGGTGTTTTGAGATTTTGGGGAAATTTGGGATTTCTTTGCAGATGTACATGTGTCTGATGCATGCTTTTTGCCACAGTGTACACACGTGTTTGAGTTTACACTCTTTGAAACCACACTGCCCTGTAGCGCAGAATATCCAGCAGAAACCTTTAGGGTTTTCTGTTCTCTGCTGGATCCTGCCATGAAAGGGGTTTTTGCCACGCTTTGAATTAGAGAAGAGGTTGTAAAGGCCAGATTTGTTCTGGCTTGTTGCCACCCGCCACAACTCATCATGCATAACTGACCACTCGAGTTTGTGGACTTTACGAAGTTTTCTAAACTCTTTGTCATAAAACCTTGCCTCCTGGAAACCATAGTCTAATGCCAATGTTCTGATGTTGTTTCCATACTTTATCAGGTCTAAAGCGAGCGATGGGTATTTTGTAATGTATAGGGACATGTAAATATCAAACGCATTGTTCCATTGAAGGACATTGAACAGTGTCTTTATCGGAGTTGAAAGGCAGTTTGTTAGAAGTTTGACACCTGACGAAATATCATGTACTTCGTCAGGTCGCTTGACGTGTGGTAACAAGGCGGCAAAGTCTACATATACATCATCGAAAAATCATCACAAATTATTTTTCAAACTAAATGAGCTCACAAAAGGAAAAGATTTCTGGAAATTAAACAATTCTCTGTTAACAGATAAAGACTATGTGGAATTAATTAAGCAAAAGATAACTGAGGTCAAAAGCCAGTATGCATGTCCAGTTTATAATATGGAAAACTTAGGTACTGTGAATGATGAAAATTTACAATTTACAATATGTGATAAATTATTTCTGGATACTCTGCTAATGGAAATAAGGGGGAAAACAATATCATATTCTTCTTTCCAGAAAAAGAAAATAAAAGAGCGTGAAGCTCAGTTAGAAAAAGAGATATTAGACCTGGAACAGAACATAACAGAAAATACTGTAGATGATCTATCAAACAAACAAAAAGAAATTAAAATAATTAGAATAAATAAAATGAAAGGCCAGTGTATTAGATCTCGAGTTAAATGGATTGAGGAAGGGGAAAAAGCGACAAAATATTTTGCAAGTTTAGAGTCTAGAAATTATATCAGCAAACAAATTCCTAAAATTATTAAAGAAGATGGGTGTACGATATCCAATCAAGAGGACATTTTAAATGAAACAAAGATATTTTATGAAAATTTATACAAAAAAAAGAGAAAATGTAAAAACAGATGATAGCATTCACAATAGACTAAAAGATTATGATATACCAACACTAAGTGAGAGGGAATCAGCAAGTTTAGAGGGACCAATAACTAAAGATGAAGTTTTATTTTTTTTGAAAAACATGAAAAATGATAAAAGTCCAGGACCAGATGGATTTACGTGTGAGTTTTTAGCTCACCTCAACGAAGTTGGGGGAGCTTATGTGATACCCTCGGCGTCGGCGTCGGTGTCGGCGTCGGCGTCCCGGGTTAAGGTTAAGTTTTTTGGAGCAGTTTTCTTTTGAAGTACTTCTATGTCCTATATTGATTAGACATGCATGGAAGATGTTGCTAGTGTGTTTCATTGTACCAGTCAAAGTTTCAGATGCTGCAATTTCAGCAAAGGAATGGCCAGGTTAATGTTTTTGGTGCAGGTTAACATTTTTGGTGCAGTTTTTGGTGTAGGTCTCATTTCCGAGTAACTATAAGCCCTATGTTGACCAAACTTACATGGATGATACATCTTAGGATGCATACTACCAGCCTTGCTTCGGATGCTGAATCTGACCTACATTTTCTGGTTGAGTGAACAGATTAAAGTTTTTGGTGATGGTTTCATTTTGAAGATACTTTGAGCCCTAAAATGACCAAACTTGCATGGATGGTACATCTTAGGATGTATTCTACTAAACTTGCTTCGGATGCTGAATCTGACCTACATTTTCCGGTTGAGTGAACAGGTTAAAGTTTTTGGTGCAGGTTTCATTTCCAAGTTACTTTGAGACATATAATGACCAAACTTACATGGATGGTACATCTTAGGATGCATACTACCAGCCTTGCTTCGGATGCTGAATCTGACCTACATTTTCCGGTTGAGTGAACAGGTTAAATTTTCTGGATTAGTGGAAAGCTTAATTTTTTTTTTACAGGTTTCATTTGCAAGTAACTTTAAGCCCTATGTTTACCAAACTTGCATGGATGATACATCTTAGGATGCACACGAATGGACTTGCTTCAGATGCTGAATTCGACATACATTTTCCAGAAAATAGACCTCGTAAAAGTTATGGGTACAAGTCTATCACCAAGAAACTATAAGGCTTATATAAACCAGTTGCACAAATGATGCATCAAGGAATGAAAACTCTCAATCTTGCTTCAGATGCTGGATTTTAATTACATTTTCATGATGAAGAACTAGTTTTTAGTTTTTATATAGGTCTATTCCAAAGTATCAAATTTGCATAAATTTTGCATTTTTGGATGTACACTTTTTGTTGGTTAATTGTGTGACTTAATTTGCCTTACTTAAGGACAACATTCGTTGAGGTGAGCTCTGTAATCTCTGATTACCTATGTTTTTAAGTTCTTTTGGAAAGATATTGGTATATTTGTGACAAGGGCAATAAATAATGCAAATGAATCAATGCAATTTTCAGATGTAAATAGACTAGGAATAATTACTTGTATACCAAAAGCAGGAAAACCAAAAGAATTTTTAAAAAATTGGCGCCCCATTAGCCTTTTAAATGTTATTTATAAATTAGCATCTGGGTGTATAGCCGAAAGAATAAAAAAAGTTTTAAATAAATTAATACATACCGATCAAACTGGATTTTTAAAAGGAAGATATATTGGAGAAAATATTAGATTGATTTATGACATAATGGATTATACAGAATGCAATCAAATACCAGGACTCTTAATGCTTATAGACTTTGAAAAGGCTTTTGATACTATCTCCTGGAATTTTATATATGAAACACTTGATTTTATCAATTTTGGGACATCAATTAAAAGCTGGATAAAGACTTTTTACAGCAATATTAAGTCCTGTGTCATACAGAATGGGTTTATTTCTAATTATATATATCCAGAAAGGGGATGTAGACAGGGGGATCCTATATCTCCATACCTCTTCCTATTGTGTGCTGAAATTTTGGGCATTTTAATTCGCAAAAATGAAGATATAAAAGGTATAACAATAGATGGAGAAGGGTATAAGATTTCTCAGTATGCAGACGACACATCACTTATTTCTGATGGATCGCCTGAATCTATGGATGGAATTCTCAGAGAATTAGACTATTTTGCAAACTTATCAGGGCTCAAAATAAATATTCAAAAAACAAAAATGATATGGATTGGTAGTAAAAAATTTTCAAAAAATGTATATCATCATTCTAGGTGGAAGTTAGACTGGAATAGCACAACTTTTGATCTTTTAGGGATTAATTTTTCTGTAAATTTAAAAGACATGATTAATCTTAATTATACATCAAAGTTAAGTGAAATTAAAAAGGTATTGAATCAGTGGAAACTAAGAAAATTAACCCCCATTGGTAGGTAAACTGTAATTAAGACATTGATTATCCCT